CCATTCGTTCGTTGATGGGCACTTAGGTTGTTTCCAACTCCTTGCTATTGTGAACAAAGCAGCAATAAACATGGGTGTGCATATATCTCCTTGGATGTCAGTTATGGTCTCTTCGGGGTATATTCCCAGTAGTGGAATTGCGGGGTCAAATGGTATCTCTATTTGCATCTTTTTGAGAAAGCGCATGGTCAGCTGTGGTGGACAGATTTTAGCAGAACCTCAGGCTAAACAGACTAGAAAGTATCTATGGTCTATCTACCAGTATTAGAGCAACATGAAAGCTACCACAGTGGGTGAAAACTAGAAGAGAGTGTGAGTGGTACAAACAGTTCATGCTCTCAACTGCTAACCAAAAGGCTGGAAGTTCAATGTACCCAGAGGCACTTTAGAAGAAAGGGCATAATACTCTACTTCCAAAACAGTCAGCCACTGAAAACTCTGTGGATTCCAGTTCTACTCACACACAAATGGGTTACTATGAGTTGGAATCAACCTCATGGCAACTTACTGTATTTTTTAAAATGGAAAGTATATGCAGAAGAATATAGAGGCAACTGACCATTTTAAACAACAAAAATTTAAATGTCAGAAAAGTGACCTTAAAAGAGAAATTCTACTGAAGACTACTTTTATAATGTGGGAGTACTGGTAGCCTAGTAGGTGAGGAGTCCAACTGCCAACATAAATGCATTCCATTCAAATCCACCAACTACTGTGAGGAAGAAAAATGGGCAATATCCTCTTAAGCAATTTACAACCTCTGAAGACCCACTCACAGGTCAGCTGTGAGTTGGTTCCAACTCCATGGCAATGACTGATTTTATAACAGGGCATTTATAAATATAAAAAGCAAATAAATAAGAAAAATCTGTCTAGGAAGGAAGACAAAATTACTGCCAAGGGCTTAGTGTGTTATGCAAATTAAGTATTATAAGGTTTGTAACTCTTCATAAAATGTTATAACCCTTTAAAATCATTTCCGTTCTCAAGTCCCAGTTCTCGCTTGATTCACAGAATTTCCCTTTGCCTCCAAAGAAAGGGCTCAGACAGACAGTGACTACATGACAAGCACTTACTCTTTCTGCCGAGAGTCACTAATGATGTGGCCTATCCTCTCAGTACTTAGAGTACTTAAGCTCGTCTCCTGAAAGAACAAGACAGACAAGAATGGCACTCAACAACAAAAACAACTATCTATTATTAAGCTCACGAATTCCCCTAGTTTCTCTAACAGTGCTAGCCCTGGCAATCTCAAAGTCATCTGTCCCAACTCCACATTCAAATCCCATGGTCACTCTATCCCTGATCAAAAAGGTCATTATAATAAACATTATCTCTTACGTACAATAACACGGGGAGTGCCATCCTTTGCACCATATTTTTTTACTACATAACACATCCACGTGAGTAGAATGCACAAGCACAGACTATGCTAATGCCCAACGAGGTTGTGGGGTTTACAAGAAAAGTGTGAAATTCTCGTGAAAGTTACAGTAACAACAAAAAAAAGTTTTACAATTCTTACCAAAAAATGTCACTTATATAAAACCACAGTGATTATTTAAAGTGTAGAAGAGTGAAAAGTTTTAAAAACTCCAACAGCAGATAATCTTTAACAGTTTTTAATAAGTGTCCATTGTAGGCCCAACAGCCTGCATAATGAACTTCTACTGAGTCCTCACTATTAAGGAACTCTGGTGGTTTAAGTTGTTCTGTAAAACCAAGTATAAGCAGTTAGAACCTATCAGCTAGCTGCTCTCGGGGGAAGATGGGCAATCTCCTCTCGTGCTACTTGCATCCTCTGAAAACTCACCAGAGGGCCAACTACAGGTTGGTTCTACACCACCACCACCAGCAGTAAGTACCTGAGTATAGGCTGACTAAATTTTCAAAGCCTTCAGTGGCTCAAAATCATCTCTCTGCTTGTATTTTGCCCTTTATGTATCTTTTCTTTTATGAAATGAAAATAGAAGTTTGTATAAATCCATTATTAAATTTGAGGTTGTCAAAGCTGTAATATGAATCCTTACCTGTAACACTACCAGCTATCCAGAAACTAAGCAAGTGCAGAAGGCTGGGAAGTGGCAGAAGAGAGTTCCTGGTCACTGAGCCTGACTACTCTGGCAGACTACCAGCGTCTGGGACAGCAGACCAACACAGACGTCAGGAAGTGACACACACGGCAAAGTGTTCAGAGCCCAAGTCACAGGCAGGAATAGCAAGTACTCAAACATGTTTGTTTCTATGAAAATGTTATTTGTCAAAAGCAATTAACATTTTTTAAAGGTCTGTGAATGAGCCTGAACATCAGGATATACGTTTTAGCACAACAATCAGCTACAGAAAATTAATTCGATGTCAGATTCCGGGTGGGAGTGGAGCTGAATGAAAAGATTTCACATATTGTAGTCTTCATATTCTTCATCCCTCCTGGCCAAGCCTCCTGGCCACAGACATAGAAGTGGTAGGGGGGCCAAGGGGAAAGATGGATGAAAAATGAGCTATTTGTTACAGCAGGAAAATTATTAACTTAAAGTGCCGTAATGTTTAAATTTACAGTTTATTACTGTGTAAATTACAAGCAGTACTTTGCGTAATTAGCAGCTCGCTGGCAGGGAGCTGTGAATGAAACTCATTATTTATGATTATAATTTAGAAAAAGAAAAGAGAGAAGGGGGAAGGGGAAGGGGGGAGCAGAGCCGTGACCTCTACTAGAAATGACAAATATCCCTTTAAGGTGATGAAGATGAATTAAACAAGTAAATATTATCCTATTCATTTGAAATCATTAGAGACACGTCCAACAGGCCCCAGGTCCCTTTCAGGCAAGCCAGAAGGAGCGTCCAAGAGGAATTGATTTACTCCACCGAAACAGAAGTCTCTTATTTTATAGGAGCTGAACAAAGTAAGTAGGTGGTAGGGACTGCATTATCTATCCAGCCTAGCCAATAATGAGGAAAAAATAAGACTTATTTCCCTTAGTCTCAACCTCCTGCTTTCCTTATCCCGTGGCTCCTCTCCCATCAGCTGTCCTATTAAGGACAACTTTCCAGCGTAGCAAAAGCTGCATTTCACTGTCTATAAATTGAGTTTCCAAAAGGAACAAGATATAATTGTTCCAAAAACGTAAGGAGACACTTGGATTTTAATCTAAAAAGAAATAATCCGGTTTAATATGGAAATCAACAGCCTCCTCTCTTTCATTTATGTATACATATATATGAAACTTCAGAAAACAGTTCTCTAATTAGACAATAAAAGCACTCCTCCTAGGCAGGAAGCCTATGGTACAGGCTGCTATATGCCTGGCTTGGCATGGAGCCTGCCATGTAGTACACACTATAAATGATTACTGAATGAACATAGTCTAAACCCCCTTCCTTACCCTCTGCCTACCACCATTTGCTGAGTATGAGCCTAATCTTACCCTGCCTCTCAATCTCAACGTTACAGCAAAAAATAAAAGAGAAGTAGAACTTGGTTCAAATCTCTACTCTGCTCCTTCTAGCTGGGCAATATCACACATTATTTAACTTCTTTCAAAGATTTCCTCATCCGCTAATGGCAAATATTACCTTTATAATAAGGTTGTTGGGAGGTTTAAATGAGCTGATAAACACAGAGCTCTGCACTGTTCCTGGCAAAGGCAGAACTGAATAAATATTAGATATTCCTGCCCCATGGCAAGGGAGGGGGCCCTGGAATTTGATAATAGAGAATTTATTATTATTAATTCCAGCATGAAAAACCAAAGGGGAAAAAAAAAAGCAGCATTCATGAATTCAGGAGTCATAAAGAAGTTAATAGTATTTTAACTTATACAATGAGACTAATTAAAGGTGCAGAAGCAATCTAGCCTAGAGATACACAGTTGACAGTGTGAGACCACAGTGTCTGCTTTATTGGAACTTAACATATGAACTAAGCTTCCCCTTTTATGTGTGTATCCACTCATCCCTACATAATGTTCACTCTCATGATGTTGTAAATATCTGAGTTTGCTTATAACCCCAGGGTGCTGTGCAGCAATAGGGAACCCACATCTCATTAGGAACAGTATCTTCCCATTGAGTCTACTAAAGAGTACAAGCTATCACCTTCCCACCAAGCCTCCTTCGCCCCTTCCTGAGGCATCGAGCTGCTGCTCCTGGGAGACGATTCAAGCGCGCATGGAACCCTAAAAGTAAAAATAAAAAGGCTTTAGTTACCAAATGGATCTCCTTCTAATACTCTGAGGGTTTTACCACCAAGACTGTACTTGTGTGACACTTAAACTAGTACTGCAAGACTACCTAGGAAGGATTTATTATTCCCATGTCCTTGTCTCTGACGTATCATGACAGGTCATTTACCTTTGACCCAGGCATCCTCATCTACTATTATTCATTATGAAAGAAATTATTCATACAAAGGATAACCCCTGCTCAGTCCTATCTAGCAGGCATGCTTTGAAGATTCAAAAAAATAACACAAGGAAAAGAAAGCACTTTTTTCAATGGAAAGCGTTTCACAAATATAAGGTATTATTAACGGATTCAAATTTTAAATTGTGTTCATCACTATCTCAAAAGCACTGATTCATAAAATAATAGTAAAAGCAGTGTATAGATAATATACTCTTATTTTAGTAACTACTATTAAGCATTTTACGGAGTCTTGGTAGCGCAGTGGCTAGACATTTGATTGCTAACCAAAACGCTGGGGGTCTGGACCCATCAGCTGCTCTGCAGGAGGAAGATGCAGCAGTCTGCTCCTGAAAGAATTATGGCCTTGGGTAAGGCTACAGGTCAGTTCTACTGTCTTATAAGCCAAAAAAGCAAAGGCCCCCAGCCGTCAAGCCGATTCTTATAAGTTGCTACTGGGTCACTATATAAGTTGAAATTTATTAGATTAACAACAGAGTTCTTTTCATTCTGAACAAAAAAAGAACAAATGGAAATTTCCAAAAAGTTACCAATGGCTTTGTCTCTGGGTGTCAGGCCACTGGATGGCTCTTCTTTTTGCTACTTTTGAAAATGCTCAAATGGAAAGAAATTAAACTAGCACACTATGTGCCTCAAGCCAAGCAAGTTTTCACCAAGAATTAAATGGTTGAGAAGGTACATCTTTCAAATGCCCACATGCATCTTAACAGAATTATATGTAAGTTTATCGTTTTTCATTATTAGTGTAATTCTATAACCAAAAGGTGTTCAAAAAACAATAAATAAGTGGCTGATTACTGGGAATCCTAGAATGATAAATTTATAGACCTGAAGAGGGGAAAAAAAGAAACAGATCACTAAATTAGCTTCAGATAAGAGTTTTGTTCAACTCACATATCATTAACGATGACCCTGACATTCCAAAGAAAGAGGTGACTGCCATAGCCACAGCTTTAGGTAAACAGGATCAGGGTGAACGCAAATACATTCTCCCCTATCCTAGATGCTTTCCACTGTATTTCTTGTATCATAACCAGAACAACAACAAGAGAAAAAGCAAGTATTTATGTTAAAGTATTTAATAATAGAATTGTTGTTGCTATGTGCCGTCGAGTCGCCCTTGACTCACAGAGATCCTATGTACAACAGCCCTAAACCCTGTTCCATCCCTTGTCAATCTTCTTGTCTCTGACACGCCTATCCCCATTACCCCAGTAACAGAATCAATCCATTTCATCCAGGGTCTTCCTCTCCTGCGTTGGCCCTCCACTCTCCCAAGCATGACATCCCTCTCCAAGGACTGATCCCACCTTGCAACATGTCCAAAGTATGTCAGATGGAGCTTTAGAATCCTTGCCTCCAAGTAGCCTGCCTTCACCCTCTCCAAGACGAACTTGTTTGTTCTCCTGGCAGTCCACGGTATATTCAATACTCCTCCAGCACCACAGCTCAAAGGCATCAACTCTCCATCTATCATCCACAGTTATTGTCCAGCTCTCTAATGCATAGCAAGTAATTGCAAAGACCATGACCTATATCAGGCACACCTTAGTTTCCAGACTGACATCATTGCTCTTCAGTACTTTGGAGAGGTCTCTGACAGCAGACTTTCCCAGTGCAATTCGTCTTTTAATTTCCTGGCTTCTGGTTACCAAAAGTGTTGATTGTAGAGCCAAGCAATCTCAAACTCTTTATCAATCATGATGCTGCCAATCAGCCCAGTGGTGAGAAGCTTTGTTTTCTTGATGTGGAGCTTCAATGCATATTGAAGGCTGCAGTTCTTGACCCTCCACAGCAAGCGCTTCAGGTCCTCCTCAGTTTCAGCAAGCAGGGTTGTGTCATCTGCATAACGCAGATTGTTGATGAATCTACTTCTAATCCTGATGCCATACTTCTCTTCATAGAGCCCAGCCTCCTGGATAATCTATTCCGCATATAGACTGAAAAGATATGGAGATAGGACACATCCTTGATGTACACCCTTCCTAATTTTGAACCATGCAGTGTTTCCTTGCTCTGTTCTGACGACTGCCTTCTGGTCCAAGTATAGTTTCCCATAAGCACAATCAAGTGTTCTGGGATTTCCATTCTTCTCAGAGTCAGCCACAGTTTGTTGTGAACCACACTGTCAAATGCCTTTGCATAGCCAATGAAACATAGATAGACATTCCTCTGGTACTCCCTGCTTTCAGCCAAGATCCATCTGACATTAGCTATAATATCCCTAGTGCCATGACCTCTTCTAAATCCAGCCTGCACATCTGGCAGTTCTCTGCTGATGTGCTGTTCTAGTCGTTTTTGGATAATCTTCAGCAGAATCTTGCTTGCATGTGATCCAATGATACTGTTCTATAATTTCCAAACTCTGTCAGATCACCTTGTTTTGGAATGGGACCAATATAGATCTCTTCCAGTCAGTTGGCAAAGTGGTTGTCCTCTAGATTTCTTGTAATTACTAAACCAAAATTATTTGAAGGAATATTTAAATCATCCATTTAAAAGTATCACTTTACTGTGCATTAAAATATGTTTACTTGTAAGATCCAATCCTGCAGACTTCCATTAGGCACCATCAGTTTCACAGCAGAACAAGCAGCTACTATCATTGTTGTTGTTGTTAAGTACATTGAACTGGAATCAACCCATAAATGACCCTCCAGTGGGTTTTCAGAGGCAGTTTAATCACATGCAAGGAGATTGCCCATCTTTCTCCCATGGAGCAACTGGTGGATTCATACCACACACCTTTGAGATTGCAGCACAGTTTCTTACCACTAGGCCACCCACTAGTGCTCCCCTCAAATGCTATATGCTATTGCTGCTATTGTTGTTGTGTACCAAAGAGTAGGAACCGACACACTTCAGAGGGTTTTCAGAGGCAGTTAACTAACTGCACAGTAGATTTCCCATCCTTCTCCCACAGAGCAGCTCGTGACCTTGAACTGCATACCTTCAGGACTGCAGTGCAGTTTCTTACCATTAGGCCACCAGAGCTCCTACAATCTGGCACATATGGCACTGGCAAGCTAAAAAATGTCCTACACGTACATATCCCAGGCAGGAATATGCACACCTCTGATAAATCATGGGCTGATTTTAGGTGGAAATAGGAAGGATCCTAAGCTTTCAGGTTTTCATTGAATCGTCTGGAAAAATCTTTGGACTAGCTGAAACATCAAAATATTAACTGTGTTCTCTGAGGTATGTACGTACTTGCTATGAGGTGATTCTTCCCTGCAAAGAGAAACAAAAAGTAAAACATATGTTGGTTCCTGCACTACTCACCTCTTTGAGCTGGCCGAGAAGGTAACAGGAAGGTGGAATCTGAAAGTTTATCCAGTCCAGAGTCCATTCTTTCCACTTCAGAACAATGATCAGGTGCCCATTTAGGCAGAAGATTAGGGACAGTGAAACCTGAGACACATTCTCCTTCATAGAACCAATCACTCTGCTCATCATCTCCTAAAATAAAGAGTGATATCATGAGTGGCTTTTTTTAAGTAACTTTTTATTATTTCTTCTTACTGTTTTCCACGAAGGTTTACAGAGTAGTCAGGGTTCCCATTTAACAGGTTCCCCATAGTCCTCTGTGACACTGGGCACGTTCTTCACAATACACAAACGTTCTCATTCTTTTCATTCTGGTTCTTCCACTTCCAATCATTTCCCTGGTCCCTTACATGTTTTGTCTTTATTTTAACATAACTGCAACTACTTGGTCTACTATATGGGATTTTGCTTAAAAGGAGCTCAATGCCTATGAGTTATAACCACCTCTATTTTTTGGCAATTTGTTCTTTAGTTATAAGGTGTCAGAAGCAAAATATGTGTTCTTTTTAGTCCAAGATTTAAAAAGTATCTCAGGGCAAATGGCTCTGCAGTTGGGAAGTCCTGCGGTCTCACCTAGTCTAGCTTTATTTTGGGGGTCTTTTGGGAGGAGAGCTTTTTGTTTGTTTTAGGAATGTGAGATTCTGTTCCACATTTTCCTCCTTTGTAATCAGGGTGCAGCTATGGTGACCCCAGGAGAAGGGCTGATAGTGGCAGCCTGGTACCATCTAGTTATTTGGGTCTCGGGGCAGATGAAGTTCAATGAGCTGAACTTTCAACATGGGAAATGGGAAGATGAATTCTCAGCATTGTAGGTACTGAGACTACAGGGAACAGTGACTACTACAATGAACTTGACCATGACTGAGATCGTGAAGATAGTGCAGAATACACACAGTCTAATTATTTTATAATCAAGAATCTAAATAAAATTTAGTTAGGGGAGAGCTGAAAAGAGAAATTTCCTGTTTACTCAGTTCCTCTGTAACTATTATTTGAGGTATGTCAGGCAATGTGTCATGCACAGTGGCTGCAAACAAAAGAATTCCTCCCTTGGAAAGTGTCAATGGGAAAGATATGTACCCACCAAGAATATGAATGCTAAGACAAGTGCTAAGAAAGCAGCAACTGCAGGGTGCCTACAAGTAACTCCAAGTGCAGAGAGAATCAGGCTTCTAAGTAAGAGGTGACACCCAAGCTGAGTCTATCAACCTGAAACCCTACAGGAAATAGACAGGACATTTATTTAAATGGGGTAACTGAAGAGACTTTAATGAAGTGACTATTTACAAAGGGACAGAAGGCATTAAAAGAAACCAATAAAGTGTGATGAAGCACCCTGAAGCTACCAACAGCAAGATATCTTTATCATTTTCAGAATGAAGGGGCAAGCAAAGTTGTTATCAGAGGCCAAGAAAATTGTAGTTCTAGAAGAAGGCAGCCAAACAGGAGCTCTGGCCTTCAGAAGTGGATCACACTCAGTAACAGTTCAACAGACAGAAGACAGGAAAGAGATTATTATCCAGTGTGGTAGACTGCAGTATTGTTTCCAGTTTTTCACTCTCTCCCTATGATACAGCAGTATAGCCACATGGCTTGTCCTCTGCCACAGGGTTTTGTGTTTCCTCGCCTAGTCACACGACCTGCTGTAGACAGAACATCTAACTCTAAATTCAATTCACTGCCCGTGAATTGGAAGTCACACGGGGGAGAATGTGCACTTTCTCCCTCAGAGAAACTTGCTTTGAGTTAGCATCACAACTCCTTACCCGGCAGGCCACCAAGCTTCCCCAAGACAGAGCTCTGGCAGATACAAATATAAGATGCATGTCAAGCAAAGGTTTTCCGTATGCATATTTGGTCTCGTTTGGTATCTCGACATTTATTTCCTCCACAAGAGCCTGTGCCTCAAATGTCACTGCTCCTTTAGTCAAAGTCCCACAAAAGGATACAGAGAGGAGCTATAAACCTACATTGAGACCTATAGATAACTGAGCCCAGACAAAATCAATCTGTTTACAGCCAAGCCACAACCCCATAGCAAGAAATAAACAGTAGCTGCTGATATCACTAAAATGTTGGTGCTAATTAACTAGCACTATCACAATAAAGAGCTCTGGTGACTCAGTGGTAAGGAATTGTGCTAATAATGCAAAGGTGTGCAGTTCCAATCCACCAGCAGCTCTTCTAGCTCCACAAGATAAAGATGGGCAATTTCCTCCCAAGCAAATTACTGTCTCTGAAAACCTGCTAGAGGGTCAGACAGGGGTTAGTTCCGACTCAACCATACACCACCACCACACTATGTTGTGACAATATTGTCGAGTGTAACCCATAGTGACCCTACGAATAACAGATCTGAACTCTGTCCTATCCTATGCCATCCTCATCATTGTTGATATACTAAAGCCCACTGTTGCAGACACTGTTAATCAATCTCATTGAAGATCTTCCTTTCTTTCACTGATCGGAAAGGTACAACGTCTCTTTCCAAGAAACAACCTATCCTAACAACATGCCCAAGGTATGTGAGACGAAGCTTCGCCATCCCTGCCCTCAAGGAGCACACTGGCTGCGCTTTCTACAAGACACAATTATTTGCTCTTTTGGAAGTCCATGGGATATTCTCTAACACTCGACCTTAAAGGCATCAATTCTTCTGTAATCCTTATTCAGTGTCCAGCTCTCAGATGCATAGCAAGTAACTGAGAAGACCATGGCCTTAATCAGGTACATCTTAGTCTTCAAACTGACATAATTGCTCTTCAGTAATTTGGAGAGGTCTGCAACAGGAGACTTTCCCAACGAAATACGTTTCCTGAAACGCTGGTACTAAAGATGGTGATTGTGAATCCAAGTAAGATGAAATCATGAGAGTCTCAATTTTTTGCATCTATCATGATGTTGCCTATGGGTCCAGTGGTTAGGATTTTTTGTCTACTTGATGTTGAGATGTAATCCATTTTTAAAGACTGTATTGTTTGATCTTCTGCAACAAGTGCTCCAACTCCTCTTCAGAATATAAAGACTTTCCAAAGGTCTAAAACTTTAATGCTTTACTAAGTCCACACTTTTCCAATCTGTGTGTTATTACTTAGTCTAAACTTTTAAAAGTATATTATGGTATCTCGTAGCACTGTGTTAAAAGCAAAGACAAAGAGCAATATTGATAATTCTGAACAATATGTACCAGCTTACTCATGGAAAGACAGCCAGACCTGTCTTCCTGGCCCTAGACTCTAGCTAAAGGCTACCTGGGTATACAATTGCAGCCTCTAATGATACTTAGGCTCCCTCAGAATAAAAAAGATACAAACGTACCTGTAATAACCATTTATTGGAGTAGAAGGCTCAACAAGGCCATGGGAATGACACTGTCTCCATAGTTACAACTCTTAGGCATAGATCACATATCTTCTTCACAGTTGTCTCCAATTCGGGTGTGGATTTTTAATTTCATAATTTCAGGATCCCTTCAGCTATTAAAATGTTTAGCTGGTTCAATCTAGACATGTAGCCACTGTGCCTCTGTCCTTCAATCATGAAGCTGTTAGAGAAGATCACCAGATTTCTGAGCTAGAAGAAATTGCTCCTGAGATCACCTACAAATGCCTTATTTAGAAGAGTAAAAAACTACAAATGCAGAAGGTCTTATGAAATTCTTACTGGACACAATTAGTATGGCCCTAAGCAAGTCTGGAAGAGCCTGTGACACACTGTGAAAGGGTTCAGCTGCCAAACAGAAGGTCAGTGATTTAAATCAGCTGTTCCAGAGGAGAAAGATGTGCTAGTCTGTTTTCATAAAATTTTCTAGCCTGGGAGCCCTCAGGCTTTGTTCCACTCTGTCCTACAGAGTCACTATAAGCTGGAATTAATTCAATGGTTTGGAAGTAAGTCCTGGGACAAGTTTCAAATATCTGTTTGGGTAGTAAAAATAAACTAATAGCTATTAATATACACTAGCAAGCAAAATTCCGCTGAAGATCATCCAAAAATGACTAAAACAGTACATCAACAGAGAATTATCAGAAATACAAGCCAAGTTTAGAAGAGGTCGTGCAAACTACAAGTTCAATGCAAACCCAAAACAAGTATCAATTCCATTCTCCAAGATGGAAAAGGCAAACTCAATTTCATCTCTAACGGAAAGAGACCCAGAATAATTAAAGCACTCCTGGAAAAGAGCAACAAGGCAGAAAGCACCTCACTCCCTGATCTCAAATCCTACTACACAGCCATGGTGGTCAAGACAGCATGGCACTGGTATAGTGACAGACACACAGATTAATTAATGGAACAGAATTGAGAACCCAGAAATCAGCCCATCTACCTATGATCAACTAATTTTTAACAAGGAGACAAAATCTAAGTGAGGAAATGAGCCTCTTTAACAAATGAGGCAAAACTGGAAAACTATCTATAGAAAACTCAAGCAAGACCCATACCACACACCATACACAAAAAACAACTCAAGGTAGATCAAGGACCTAGATGTAAAACCAAAGACTATAAACTTCATCAGAGAAAAGATTAGAAGAACTCTTGAAGCCCTAATCCACAACATGAAGAGTCTTCCAAGCATCTTGAAAAACCTACAATCAGGAGAGAAGAAAATAGACGAAAGGGACCTTCTAAGAATAAAAATCCTATGCACATCAGAAGACTTCTCCAAAAGGGTAAAAAGGAAAGCAACAGACTGGGAAAAAATATCTGGTAATGACATATCTGATAAGGGACTCATATCTAAAACTTATAGAATACTCCAGTACCTCAACAAGAAAAAGGTAAACAACCCAAATGCAAAATAGGCACAAAATATGAATAGACATTTTATTAAAAAAAGACATTCAGATGGCAAACACATAAAAGAAATGTTCAAAATCCCTGGCTCTCAGAGAGACGCAAATCAAAACTACTATGAGAGATCACCTCACTCCAGTAACAGCAGCAAAGTTCATGAGAGCAGCAAACAACAAATCCTAGTGAGGTTGTGGAGAGATTGGAACCCTTATTTACTGCTACGGGGAGTAAAAATGGTGCAACCACCATGGAAAGTGATGCTTTCTCGGAAATAGAAATACCACTTGACCCAGCAATTCCACTATTAAGAATATACCCTAAAGAAATCAAAGCTG